TACCCACCTATAATGGGCTTAGACCATTCTAGGCAGGACCAGATGTTAAACTACGAAGTCTGCAGCTTTGAGCCAGGTCGCTGGCCTTGCTGAGATCCTTCCTTGGCATGGAAATCGAAGACGCTACTCTTCTAACCGAGTGACACACTGAGTTTCTTGGAGAAAGCCGGGCAAAAGTCCCGAAGCAAAACTCTCTGCGAGTAAACGAGGAGACGTTAAAGAAGCTGGCAAGTTCTTGTTGTTCGCTTGCCCCGTCAGTCGTGACTGAAGAGACTGGACATTTTCGAGAATTGGCAATCAAGAGGAGTGGAGCGAGAACCACGCTCAAGAATAGCAGAAATACACTACTCACGCATGCATCCTGGCCTTCGTACTTGTTAGGAATGGTGTTGGCACAGCCTTGCCCATTGGCCCACGCCTTGCTTCTTGAGCCGAGGCTTCGTCTGAACCTTCCTGTCTGTCTTCGCATAGCTGCTGTCATGCCCCTGCGGGGCTCATTCCGGTCCTCCCTGCCGCCTCATGCAATCCTTTTGTTCTGTTTGTATGCACGTGTTGTCGTCCGTCCTTAGATCGACTCAAGCTCCCCACCCTACCGCGCTGAATCGCACGCACCGTCGACGCACAAGCTTCCATTGTTTGTCTTTTTGCTGCAGGGCGGGCTCAAGGGAGGTTAGCCCGGCAAGGATTGGCAAAGGCGGGATTGGCCAAGGCAAACATGCCCCTCTAGCGACAGCCCAAGCCACGACCCTTGCCAATTCTTTTGCAGTTCCAGGGGCATTTGGACGGTAAGAACTGCTACTCTTGCTCCTACTACTACTACTACTACTACTACTACTACTACTGACTACTACTACTTCTACTACTACTACTGCTACTACTACTACTACTACTACTACTACTACTACTTACTACTACTACTACTACTACTACTACTACTACTAGGACTTTCAGGCCACTACCACTACTGCCACACCCGGTATTGCAGTGGTCGCGAGACGGCTTGATGTTCAGCCTGGGCTTCTTGGGCCGGCGCGAGACATGCTGCCCGGCTGAAGAGCTTTTGACCGGAGTTTCGAATGGGTGTCTACAGACTTTGCAGGCTTCTATAAAGGTTTCTTCCCAGGTTTTGCAAAGGTTGTATGAGGGTTTCCGAGAATGGGGCTTCTTCGGGGTCCTTACAAAAGATCCTTCTTTCGCGCTTAGGGAAGAGAAGGCCGTAAACAAATTCAGCGCAGAACTCAGTTCTGTGAGCCTCGTACCCAGCCCTGCGCAGGCAAGGAGCTGGCTGGGGCACTTTCAGTTGCCGGTCGGAAGTGCCAGTGGCGAGACAGAAGGAGGTATGGGTGCAAAATAATGGTACAAGAGATGCCGCAATTTGAAGCTTCATTTTGGCCGATCTTCGTCTATTGTTAAAGTTCTGACAGGTGGGGCTCGCTGGTTGATTGACAGTACTTCGGATGTGCTTGCAGGTCTTGCATTGCCACGCTCGGAAAGTCAGACAAAGCCTGCCAGCCAAAGCAGGTGCAGGGTGGGGGGGAAGTCTACGCAGGTCCAACTTGTGGACCCCATGTGTCGCAAATCAGATCGGCAAGCACGTAGTTCTGGTTCCACACTCGCTGTCAAGCTTGCCCTGGGATGGAGGCGGCGCTGTTTCTGCCGCCACAGCTCTTGCAGCACTGACTGGGAGTCACTTGAGGCTACATTCGAACCCATGCGTTACAGGGGTCTGGATACTAAGTTGGTAATACCTTCCAAGTGTCCCCGTACTTATAATGATCATCCTTTAGTGTACACCGAAACCTATTCCAATCACTACTCGTAAGGTACTGATGCCCCTGTATTGCGGCAGTCGATTTTCGACTTGAGCCTAGGGTTTGCTGACTGGAACTATGGGCTTTACGGGACGGGGCCTGCCGTCTTAAACTTGTCGTGTTCGTATGCCCATGCGATACAGTAGCATTCATGGCTGCGGCAGCAGGACCCCGAATGAGGTAGGGGCCGTTACAAACGCAATGAATTCCTCCGGGTCGTTGGATAATATGTTGCTTTAACCCCATGAAAAACTATAGGGGCCATAAGGGGATACTGCTCTTGTGCAAGACTGTTGCAGCAGGCCGCTCGCCAGGAGACAGACGTGCCCATACCGCCGCAGGCGTGTCCAGTGCCGAGGCACGGGCTGTACAGCAGCAAGTAGGTTGGGAGCCGGTTTCCACAAAATACAAGTATTGTCGGTCATGATAAACAACATAATGAAAGTTATATGAGGGACTACAAGCGGATACCATGGGCAGGTAATGGCTTGGCATCCTCCTCCTCACTCTTCACCTTCCTGCCTGAAGCTCCGGAGCCGCAGCAGACGTTTCCAGATCTGCCCTTGGTGACCGTGCCAGAGGAATCAGGATCCCAAGACGAGAGCTTTCAGCTCGGTGACTGGCTGGTCAGCCGGGAGCTCCTTGTGGCTTTTCAGCTTGCCGAAAGAGAAGCTCGCGGATACGGGCACTTCTGCATCGGAGAGGAGGCTCTTGTCCTGGGCATGCTGGCGAACCGTTCCCTCGCAGAAGACCTTTGTGGCCGCAAGCTGAGGTCCATGGTGAAGACCATGGCCAAGATGGCCCTTACGCATGCAGATGAGCCATTGGCAGATGTTTTCTCTTCAAGCTCGCCGTGGCTGCACTCTGGATCCAGCAAGTTTATGCTGAGCCACGGGGTGCATGCAGCTCTGGATGAGGTCTGGTCTGGGCGAACTTTGGGAGCCCCTATCATAAACCCCAAACCCTTACAGCCCGAAACCCCTAGACCCCTGTAGTGCCCTTATGCTTATAATACACCTTGAGGGAAGTCGGATGGTTTGCGTTCATGGTTTCGCTCCATTGTGCAAGCACTTTAACGAGTTGCGGTGCGTCAGTGATTCATGCGGAGGAAACGTGCAAACTTGCTCATCGCGGTACAGAAATGCGACAGTCAAACATGCGACAGTAGAGTATGTCCTTGCAGCACTCTAGCTGAGACAACTCCAAGGAGGCCCCCATCCATAGCATAGCCTGGAAGTCGTGAGTGCTTGCATCTCGAATGCTTGTTCTTTGGGCGTGGGCTTGGTGACCAGCTTGGCGTACTGATGTCTCTAGTCTTAGTGGGACAAGTTGTCTTGAAGCGTTGCCTGCCTTGCGCGAGTGAGTCGAAGCCGTCACATCCCTAAGCCCTAAACTCTGTGATGCGAGAGGGAGAACCCTCTGTGATGGGGCACGAGAGGCCTCCGCTTGGAAACGGCTCCTCCAGCACACGGGTGCTCTGCAGATACTTTGACATGGTTGGGCAACATTTTACAGTTTTAAGGGTATTTAAACTCCATACTGGTAAGGAATAACACTGTAGATTTTTGATACTATCCCAAGCATGAACTAGGATAGAGCATTTGGCATTGGCCTTGTTGGGTCAGTATCGCTTGGATGGCGTCCGAGCCAACTATCGGGCCAGAGCCTTAGATCCTCGGTACCTAGCTGATGGTCAGGGATCCTCATTGAAAGAACTACCCATATGACTCATATGACCGTTATTTGTCCTAATTGCTATTATTGTTGTTGTTCTTAGTATCATTATTCTTTTGCAGCACCATTGCAGACCATCCCCTGTCGAGGTCCCGCCGTTCTCCTGCTGATTTGTTTTTTCGCTTACTTGTACCGCCATTGCCGGTGCCAGTAATTAACTCTTACTTATGTTGTCGTGATGATCATTTCGTGCTTCTGGTACTTGCTACTCACTGCCAACAACTCTGCTTTTTCTTCAGGGGTTCTTCCCTAGAAATCAGTCGCAGACAGACCAGGTGCTGGGCCATTTGCTCGAGTCTTTCGGCTTGCAGGCGATGGACGCTTGCACAAGTTTGAGTCGGTTGCTCCAGAATCTAACTACGCCTTTAAGATGCTCAAGCATCGTGTGACAGACACCCCATAGTTTGAACTTGTAGCAGCCTTTAGATAGATCACACTCCTTAGCGTATAAGCTGCCCTTAGGATGCGAGTCCAACCACCCCGGAAGGCTCTGCAATGGGATAGGAGAACACAAGTCCGGATGCAGCGCTAGGGCGCAGACCTGTGACAAAGCGATTCTGAAAGATGCGTCGGATCCTCACTGGAAGGAAAGCATGTGATAGGAAGCATAGCTTGGGTACTGCCCCCATACAGCAACAGCCTATAATAAGGGTACTATTCAGGGCCTAATATGTCTATATTATGAATATCATTGAAGTGGGGGCAGTATCCAAAGCATAGCCCTGAAGTCTGCAGCAAGGACGCGAAGCGCGCAGTCCTCGAGCGGTTGCCGGGCACGACTGCAAGGAACCATGCTGCTGCTACAGAGCTTATTAGCCAAGCGCTGCGAAAAGGCTCAGGTGGGATCTTGTGAGGACACTAGTAATTAAAGCTAACAAGTCTCAGCTCTACAAACTTCAGCTCCTCACAGCGAGAGGTGTGGCTCTTGCATCGAAATCTTCGCAGATCTGGCCGTGCCTCCTTGCGAGCTCACTGGAGCGAATGACCTGCGGCTTCAAAGAGCGCGCTGTGGAAGCAAAGATTCTGCTGCTGGCTGCCATTGCAGGCGTTGGAAATCCAACGTTGAACTGTTGAAGTGTCACTAATGAGCACCTTGCAGGTACATGGTCCTGGGCAAGCAAAGAGCACGCACAACACTAGTTACGACTGAGTTTCAATGCTTCCATGGATGTCAGTGTTCGAGTTTTGTCTAAGCCTATACCTTGGCTTTACGTTCAAGCTTCACCGGGGTCTTGCCTCTTGTAAGTGGTACCCAAAATCTCTACGTGCCCATGACAGGTGAGCACGTGCTGCTTCTAGGCCCGCCCGGAACCGGAAAGAGCATGCTGGCAAGGCGCCTGGCATCTGTCTGCGACGGGCAGTATTTTGAACGTCTGCTGACTCGGTTCACCCTTCCGGAAGAGGTTTGGGGGCCACTGTCCCTTCAAGCCTTAGAAAGAGAGGACCGGCTGATGCGACAAACCGCTGGATATCTCCCGGAGGCAGAGGTCGCATTCTTAGACGAAGTGTTCAAGGCATCTCCCGGTGTGCTAAATTCCCTCATGTCAATCCTGAACGAAAGGGTCTTTGACAATGGGAGCGAGCGCCATGAAATACCACTATGGTGCATGGTCGGTGCATCAAACGAACTGCCAGAGAGTGACGTGCTGGATGCTCTGTACGACCGCTTCCTCCTGAGGAAGATGGTCGGCCATGTTTCGGACAGCCAGTATCATAGTTTCCTTGTAGATGAGTTGGCCACTCCGAGTTCTACCACAGCCTCTTCTGAGTCCAGTCGGGACAAGATTATTGATTGCCACCTTTGCCGTCAAGCCTGCAGCTGTGCATCTCAGCAGGTCAAGGCAGCGCAGCGAGTGGTCTAAACCCCAATCTATTCGAGACCTGTAGCTCCTAAACCCCAACTGCCCAGTGACCCGCCGGAGGCAATAAGAACCAAAAAGGAGAGAGCGAAGATTGATCATAATCAGGGTTCCGCTTATGCAAAAACTCTAGAGGTTCCCAGACCAAGCCCTTTCAGGTGCCTCAGCGTTTGCTGAAGCTACTGGCTGACCTGCGAGAGTACCTTCAGCATCGAGCGGCTTGGCCCGTCCTCCTGTCTGACCGTCGGCTCGCGAAGGCAACACGCTTGCTTCAGATCGCAGCCTTCACCTGCGGAGGCGTCGAAGTTTCGGAGCTGGATCTACTTCTGCTTCAGCACGTCTTCTGGGACAGGCCTGAGCAAGGGGAGCAGGTCCGAGACTGGCTCATAAACTGCCGCTCGCACGGAGAAGACGAAGAGGAGGCTCTCGCCGTCGCGCAGAAGAGCCTGAACCGGATTCGGGACCAGCTCCCCGGGCCGGGGCCGGGCAGGTTTCCCGTGAGGCGGGGGGACATGGCCATGTCAAAGGTAGCAGTGGCAAAGCTGGCTTTGCAAGATGACCATGCTTGCCTTACAGGGCTGTTCAGGGACGCCTCTCTAGCCGCTCAAGCAGCACTGGGTTGTTTATTTCAGGTGACTTTGCCATCGAGCCTGTGAATTTCCGTAACCGAAACACACCAACAGCGTTTAGTGTTCCCTTTGCACACAAATACGCACATGCGGTGTGTATGTATGTATGCATATACAAACATACAGTGTACAAAAATGTGTTTGTACATATGTACGCATGGTATAATATGCTATGCTATGCTATGCTATACTATGCTATGCTAT